CTTGTGGCCAGTCAACATTTGTATCTTCTCATCGTATAGGTATTGTCGTCAAATCTTTAGAGTGAACACAACTGTAACTAACTCTAGATCATGAGTTGGATAATGACGCTCGTATAACTTCAATTTCCTTCCAGTGTAGACCATCACCTTGTCATTTACATTAGAACACAACCTAGCTCTTTACTTGATGTGCCATTGTAGACTTGCAAAGTTTTTGAATCGTTAGGTAATATGAGCACATGTCATTACAATTTGATATTTAAGTTTCCTAAAACTCTACTCGTAAGCCTCATCCAGGCAAAGAATTTTATCTTCTTGGTCAACTGAATGAGGGTTGCCGTGATCTCGAAGAAATCTTGGATGAAACTTCAGTAATATCTCGCTAACCATAGAAAAATTCTAATTTTTGTAACTGAGGTAGGGTAGGGCGAGTTCATCCTTAACATCTCCGTTCTACTTCATATGTAAGAGGGACCTATCGAGTGTCTGAATGCTCACGTTTAATTTGATGAATTCATTACTGAATATGAGATGATAGAAGTTGAAACATTGCCAATTGAAAGCATTGAGAACCCTTACATGGAAGCCCCCTAAAGTTTTTAGCTACTCTTCAAAACATAGTGGGAGAGATGGAAGAGTCAGTGGAACATGGTCTTATGTACGTCGAGACATGAATTAACCACGTAACAACTAAGAGAACTTTGACCAACTTTAGAGTCATGCACAATTTCCTGATAGAGACTGAAATGAACCGCTTAAATATACTATAACATCAAGATATAAGAAAAATAAAAGTCATCACAAATGGTACCGAATTGAAGAAATATATATATATGCAAGAGGGAATGAGAATTGAAAAATGTTGTAATGTTGAAAAAAAAAATATTTTTCCATCTCATGAATTTACCCTTCATATTAGAAAGTTCTCCCAAATTTTTTGGCTCACTTCACAAAAAATGAAATAACTCTATGTTTAATTTCTTAGATAAATATCAAAACCCATTTAAAAAAATTACAAAAACCAAAAAGAAGAAAAAGAAGAATAAGAATGATTTTTTTATTTTTTTTTTGTATCATTGACACGTTAATATAAATATAATGAGCCACATGTAAAAATTCATATAAAAAACCCGACTTTTGAGGTTATTGTCTGGAGTTCTACTCAACCCTCTTTGAGCTTGTCTTTCATACTTGTGTCGCCTCGTTCTCTCGAACTTAGCGTATGACTCAACTTAGCTTCAATGCACATTCTTGGTGTATTGGATGATGCACCGTCCTCCTCAGTCGCATCATGACACGTGGTCGGATAGATGTCACTTGCCGGTCCTGTGTGGAGGTCACAACCTACCTTTTGTCAATGAGGTTGTCAATGAGGTGGGCCTCATGTGGTCGGATAGATGTCACTTGTCTGTCTTGTTGGGCCTCATGTGGTTGGATAGATGTCACTTGTCTGGGCCTCATGTGGTTGGATAGATGTCACTTGTCTGTCTTGTGTGGTCACAACATACTTTTTGTCAATGAGGTGGGCATCATGTGGTCGATAGATGTCACTTGTCTGTCTTGTGTGGAGGTCACAACCTACATGAGGTGGATAGATATCACTTGTCTCTCTTGTGTGGAGGTCGGTGTCACTTGACTGTGTCGTCTCTTTCAAAAATCTCTCTCTACCCTCGTTTTCTAAAACCTTCTTTTAAAACTTGTAGGCGATACAAGAACAAATTGGCTTAGCTCACTTGTCGTTGGAAAGTGAGTGTCGCACAATAGTCCGCTGCCTACTTTTGTTAATGAGGTAGATGTCACTTGTTTGTCATGTGGAGGTCACAACCTACTTTTTGTCAATGAGGTAGATGTCACTTGTCCGTCTTGTGTGGAAGTCACAACTTACTTTTTGTTAATGAAGTAGACGTCACTAGTCTGTCTTGTGTGGAGGTCACAACCTGACCTACTTTTTTTTCTTGTTTTTTTTTTTTAATGAAATTGGGTCGATTCATGACCTAGTTTTTCTGCACTATAAACTCAAACCAATCCGAACCAACTCGAATCCAAAAAGATAAAACAAACCAACCTAACCAAAAGAGTTATGAATAATGAAAATTTGAGAAAAGAAAATGACATCAAGTAAGCTTTTGAACAATTTGGGCAATTCTCCCTCCATACTCATTTTGATTCGATTCAAACTAGTTTCTTTAGCTTCATCGTCTGCTGAGGAGGTCTATAAATCATTAAGGCTATTGACTCACGAACTAGAACTTGACCTTTAAAGTTGAAGAGTAGTAAAAGTTATCGAGTGACCCTAGATTAGTAGAGTCATATTAGATTTAGGTTTAAAATGTGAAGGAGTCCATGTCCATATTTATAGGATTCAAAACAGACATATTATTGATTCATGGCATTCCAAGTACAAGTACAGATGTTTGTTGTATAAAATGAAGAAAGGTTGAAGAAGGAGTTAGGTGTCACGGTCATGCTTGTCCAGGGCATGTTGCCCATGGCCGCATGCCCATGACAAGCCAAACCCTTGTCATGTCTTTTCATTCTAGTGTTTTTCCTTTTGTAATTCTAAAGCGTATGACACCTCAAAAATATCATGTCTAGGCCTGCCAGAACTAAAATGGCCCAGAATGTACTATAGGGGGATATGACTAGTCGTCAACTTCTCCCTACCCAAGGTTATATATGCTAAGCCGTTGTTATCTTTCTCTTGCTTGCTTATATAACGTCTCTTTCTAAAATCTCTCTTTCTAAAATCTCTCTTTCTAAAATCTCTCTCTCTCCTCGTTTTCTAAAACCTTCTTTTAAAACCGAGGCTAGAGGCTTGACCGTACGTCGCTTGGCCGTAGGCGACGCAAGAACAAATAGGCTGAACTCACTTGTCGCTAGAAAGTGAGTGCCGCACAATCGCTAGTCCGCTGCCTTCGAAAGCGCGATTGTGTCAAGTGGTATCAGAGCTTTGTTAGCTCCGTAACGTCATACAGACCGAGACCATGTCGACGACAAAGTCGACACCCAAAGCACAAGCCGACCGGCTTACGCTAATAGAGGAGGAAATGCTGTTCCTCAAAGAAGTCCCTGACACCCTCCGTTTCCTGGAAACACGGGTGACCGAACTGAGTGAGAAAGTCGTCCAAGTCGACGCAATGGGCAACCGCCTGGATGGGTTGCCAATCGCAGAACTGTTGTTTCGAGTGACCTCGCTCGAAGAAAGAGTTGCTCCTACGAGCAGCCCAAAACCGTCTGATAGTCCGGATAGCTCTGTCGAACACAAAGAGGGACGTGGCGAAGAGTTCGATGTACTACAAAACACAATGATGAGTTTCTTCAATGGATTGGCTGATGAATTCAGAACAACAGTCGACGACCTCCAAGAAAGGATGGTCGCCATGAGCACTCGAATTGAAATCACCATGAAAGCCATGGAAGGTGTCGCGGCTGGACAAACTAGTACAGGATCCAACAAACTAAGGTTCCCAGACCCTAGAGCCTTCAAAGGGAATCGGGATGCCAAAGAGTTGGAGAACTTCATCTTTGACGTCGAACAGTACTTCAAAGCCACAACGGCTTGTACCGACGACAAGAAGGTGACTGTAGCCGCGATGTACCTCATAGACGACGCCAAACTGTGGTGGCGTACGAAGGTGCAAGACATCGAGGATGGATTGTGCACCATCGACTCATGGGAGGACCTCAAGAGAGAGTTGAGGGAACAATTCCTCCCCGAAAACGCAGGGCATATAGCAATGGAGAAAATAGTAGCCCTGAAACACACTGGAAACATACGGGACTACGTCAGACAGTTCTCAACCCTGATGCTGGATATCAGGGGCACAGCAGAGAAGGACAAGGTGTTCTTCTTCATAAATGGTCTACAGCCGTGGGCCAAAACAAAGATACATGAGAACAGGGTCCAAACCCTAGCTGCCGCAATGGCCTGCACCGAGAGACTCGTAGACTGTGGGAACGAAGCAGGATCCCAAAGAAGAGCGACACCAGCCCCAAACAATGGGGGCAAACCATACAGACCACCAGGCCAGTGAAATGGAAGCCCCAACAGACCGAATGGATGGACGGATAGACCTCCTCAGAACAATCAAGCGGGGACATCTCGAGGGCCTTACCATCAAAGGAACCACCCGACGACGCCTTTGCAATGCATGCTGTGCGGGGACATCTCGAGGGCCTTACCATCAAAGGAACCACCCGACGACGCCTTTGCAATGCATGCTGTGTAAAGGCCTCTCGAGGGCCTTACCATCAAAGGAACCACCCGACGACGCCTTTGCAATGCATGCTGTGTAAAGGCCCCCAGAGGGCCTTACCATCAAAGGAACCACCCGACGACGCCTTTGCAATGCATGCTGTGTAAAGGCCCCCATAAGGTATCCTACTGTCCTCACCGGGCCTCTCTCACTACACTTCAAGTGTCCATTCAAGAGAGCAATGAAGCAAGGGTCGAGACTTTGCTAGACAAGAAGGAAGATCACGACAACCCCCGAATGGGCGCACTCAAATTCTTGTCAGCCCTCCAACGAAAAGTCGAACCGAAGGAGGTAATAGAGAAAGGGCTCATGTTCGTGGATGCCACAATAAACTCTCAACCGAGCAAGAGCACTTTGATAGACTCTGGAGCAACCCACAACTTCATTGCCGATCAAGAAGCCAGAAGATTGGGACTCACCATAGGAAAAGACCCGGGGAAAATGAAAGCTGTCAACTCCGAGGCCTTGCCTATTGTGGGAGTTTCTAAGAGAGTCCCCTTCAAAATAGGGGATTGGACTGGAGAGCTAGACCTTGTCGTGGTTCGCATGGACGACTTCGACGTGGTACTTGGGATGGAGTTCCTCCTAGAACACAAGGTCATCCCAATGCCATTGGCAAAATGCTTGGTGATCACCGACCGTAATCCCACAGTAATACTTGCAAGCATCAAGCAACCAGGTAGTCTTCGAATGATCTCGGCCATACAACTGAAAAGGGGACTTGCACGAGAGGAACCTACATTCATGGCCATACCACTGATAGAAGAAGCAACCACCGAAGAGACTGTCCCAGAGGAAATCAAGGAAGTACTAGACAGCTATACCGACATAATGCCGGAGAGTCTACCACAAACACTACCCCCTCGTCGAGGCATTGACCACGAAATCGAACTCCTTCCCGGGGTTAAGCCGCCAGCAAAGAACGCATACCGGATGGCTCCACCCGAGCTAGCCGAATTGAGGAAACAACTGGATGAGTTGTTGAAGGCGGGATTCATTCGCCCGGCAAAGGCCCCTTATGGAGCCCCTGTACTGTTCCAGAAGAAGAAGGATGGGACGTTGCGTCTGTGCATAGACTATAGAGCCTTAAACAAGGTGACAGTACGCAACAAATATCCTCTGCCGATAATATCTGACTTGTTCGACCAACTTCACGGGGCCAAGTACTTCACGAAGTTGGACTTACGATCAGGATATTATCAAGTACGCATTGCCGAAGGGGACGAACCCAAGACGACGTGCGTAACTAGATATGGGGCCTTTGAATTCCTAGTAATGCCCTTTGGCTTGACAAACGCCCTAGCTACGTTCTGCACGTTGATGAACCAGGTTTTCTACGAATACCTGGATCAATTCGTCATAGTGTACCTCGACGACATTGTTGTTTACAGCACAACCCTCGAGGAACACAAAGTGCATTTGAAGTTAGTGTTTGACAAGCTCCAGCAGAACCAACTGTATGTGAAGAAAGAGAAATGTGCATTCACACAAACATGCATCAACTTCCTTGGACATGTCGTCAGATGTGGACAAATTAGTATGGATAGCGACAAGATAAAAGCTATTCAAGAATGGAAGGTTCCTACTTCCGTATCTGAGTTGTGGTCCTTCTTAGGACTAGCCAATTACTATAGGCGGTTCGTCGAAGGGTTTTCACGACGAGCCGCCCCATTGACAGAGCTGTTGAAGAAAGACCACCCTTGGTTGTGGTCGAATGATTGTCAAATGGCCTTTGAAAATCTGAAAACAACCATGACGAGGGGTCCTGTCCTCGGGTTGGTAGACGTCACAAAGCCATTTGAAGTAGAAACCGATGCTTCCGACTTTGCTCTCGGGGGAGTTCTTATTCAAGAAGGCCACCCCATCGCTTACGAAAGTCGAAAGCTCAACGATGCCGAACGAAGATACACTGTCTCCGAGAAAGAAATGTTGGCCGTAGTCCATTGCCTTCGAGTCTGGAGACAGTATCTCTTAGGATCACAGTTCGTAGTGAAGACGGATAACAGCGCCACTTGCCACTTCTTTGATCAACCAAAATTAACAGCAAAACAAGCCCGGTGGCAGGAGTCGTTGGCCGAATTCGACTTCAAGTTCGAACACAAAGCAGGAAAGAGTAATCAAGCAGCCGACGCGCTGAGTCGGAAGGGCGAACATGCGGCCCTGTGCATGTTAGCCCATATTCATTCAAGTAAGATCGATGGATCGATGCGCGACATCATCAAGGAACATTTACACAAAGACCCATCGGCCAAAGCTGTTGTCGAACTAGCTAAGGCTGGAAAGACACGGCAGTTTTGGGTTGAAGGGGACCTTCTGATAACCAAAGGAAACAGATTGTACGTCCCAAGAACAGGGGAGCTGAGGAAGAAGCTCATTCAGGAATGTCATGATACCTTGTGGGCCGGACATCCTGGGTGGCAAAGAACATACGCCCTAATAAAGAAGGGGTACTTCTGGCCAAACATGCGAGACGACATCATGCAATACACCAAGACGTGCCTCATCTG